GGGCGCCAGCCCTGGGACCACCTCCATGGCCTCCTCTGGCTTCTCTCCAACAGGTCAGTGTCCTTCCTGTGCAGCACTTTGTTCCTCCCACCCCTTGTCTGGCTGTGGTGTCTCTCCTCTCTTCTTCCTTTGGCCATCCAAGTTGATGTCTGCCTTGGCCATGACCTTCCTGCTCCATGTCCTGGTGTGTCTCCACCCTGTAGTGAGGATTTCCTACTCCTGGGACAGACGATCCAACTCTCCATAGTGGCTGCTGTGTTGACTCTTCCCTCCAGCGGCTCTGGGAAAAATTAGCTATTAGGAAAAATTCCCCCATGGAAAGGGCTGTCAGGCCCTGGAATGTGCTGCTCAGGGAGGTGGTGGAGTCACCACCCCTGGAGGTGTCCAAGAAGCTCAGGATGTGGCATTCAGAGCGCTGGGCTAGGTGACAAGTGGTGATGGGTCACAGGTTGGACTCAATGGGCTTGGAGGGCTTTGCCAGCCTCAATGTGACTCCTGGTGGCCAAGCCCAGGTTGTTTCCAGTTCTGAACTCCTGAGTTGCTGCTCCTTGAGTGCACCCCCAGCCCTGTCCCTGCTGGTCCCCCCATGTCCCCCTGGCTGGGCAGGGGCTGCTGTGGGTTATAGAATCACCCAATAGGATCACAGAGCCATCAGGGCTGGAGGACACCTCAGATCATCAAGTCCAACCATGAACCTGTCACTGCTCTAAACCCTAACCCATATCCTCCAGTGCAGCATCCAGACACCTCTTGAACACCTCCAGGGATGGTGACTCCACAGACAAGATTCCAGTGCCTGAACACCCTCACAGGTAAGAAACTCCTCTGACATCCAATCTGCCTCTGCCCTGGCTCAGCTCAAGGCCATTCCCCTTAGTCCTCTCCCTGCAGCTGTGGCAGGGACCAAATCTCACCATGCAGTGCTGGAGCCTCAGCTGGTGTGAGCTCAGTCATTTCCTGAGGAATTCAATTTGCAAACTCAATTTCCTCAGCGGGGACAGTGTGCTCAGCTCTGCCTGCACAGCCCTGAGCTCCTTGGTGTCCTTGTGGCCTCAGCTCCTTTGTTGTGCTCCCCGAGACCTCCCGGTGCCCCCAGCCAAGGCCAGTGCTGCCTCTCCCCTGCCCAGCCCGGGGCACTGCTCCCTCCTGCTGCTCTGCCTGGGTTTGCTGTCGCCCAGGACACTCTGTCCCGCACCTCTGCTCCTAAACCCGTGGCCATCCCTCCCACCAGCGCTTCGGGGTGAGGCCCCCCCTCAGCTCCCTGCGGCTTATCCAGAGTTGCCCTTCAGGACCTGAACAGTTCTGCAAAGCTCAAAGTCTCATCATCCACACGATGGTTAAAATTTGGGCTTGGATGGGCTCAGAGCAACCTGGTAAGGTGGAAGGTTCCCTGCCCATGGCAGAGGGTGGAACTGGATGAGCTTGAAGGTCCTTCCAACCCAAACTTCCTGTGATTCCATGGTTAGAACACTCAGGCCCCATCACAGGAATTGCTGGGGGTCCCTGTGTGCTGGAGGTCCCTGTACTTTGGGGGTCCCTGTGCTCTGGGGGTGCTGTGTGCTGGGGGTCCCTGTGTTCTGCCCATCCCATGCATCTATTTCAGGGCTCATCTCCCTTGTGTTCCCCCCATGCCACTGCCCTGAGCTTCAGGGCATAGACGGCTCTTAATTGAGCTAATTAAGACTCTGGATAACAAGCTGCCTCTGCCCCTGCACAAGGCACATGGTTATCTAGAGATTTAATTATTTAGCTTTTTAGTTACTGAGTTGTTT